AACTTTGATTTATTATATTTAAAAATTTTAAATTTATAACTCATAAACAATACTTAAAAAAAAATAAAATAAAAACTTCAAAAAAAAACTCTACCAACCAGCCCTGAGACATACACGGGTGGAAGAATAAATACATACATCCATTATTGCACCAGGGAGCAGAGAAAGCTGACTTTTGTCTCTCCCTCAAAATTGCTTTTGGGAGAATTCACGGGAATCAAGAAAAGTGGACCTTCAGTTTCCGCAAGAGATCTCTAGAGGAACCGGCTAACATTTTACTGTAAGCTGCTTGCATGAGCTAACGATTTGAAGACTTGGTTGCTTTGAGCTTAAGGCATGCATGCACTCACACAGTTGCATTGAGTCTTTCCAATACGACAAATTTTGAGCTTGGTTCTTGGAGGAGGAAATTGTCTGCAAACAATGGATTTCCTGGATCTGCTCATATTGGCATTGATATGCCAATTTCTAAAAGTTCTCCTTGTTACTGCTGTTGGCCTATTGCTTGCAATGGATCGCGTCAATCTCCTGGGGCCAGATGCAAGGTCTCATCTTAATAATGTAATTCCTTCTCTGACATATATCTTTCTTGTATTTACGTTTGATTTGATCCACAGCCAAAGTCCTTACCCTGTACAAGAGAAGCTCTTTTAACTGCTTTCAGCTCCACTGAGCACTGAAAACAATATATCTTTTTCTTTTTTGAACAGATGGTGTTTTATGTGTTTGGGCCTGCGCTCATATCCAGCAACCTGGCTGAAACAATTACTTGGGAAAGTTTGGGAACCTTGTGAGTTCATGTCTGAGGGTAATGTTTTTTCATTTGATGGTGAGAATGGCAACTGATTCTGTTCTCTTTTTCCTTGTTAATAAATTGACAGATAACCATTCGTTAAAATGTGTAGGTGATTTATGCCAGTGAACATCCTTCTCACACTTATATTAGGCTCAGTGCTCGGGTGGATTCTCATAAAGATCACAAAAACTCCTCCAAATTTGAAAGGCCTTATCATGGGCTGTTATTCCGCTGGTAGATAGATGTTCATCCTTAATGGCTATGTTTTTGTTTTGTACTCCTACCCAAATTGAGAGTGTGGTTGTGGGTTTCTTAAAATAGAATACCTTGCATGTTTAGAAATGAGGCATCTTGTAAATGGTGCATATATAAAGTGTGTTATTTTCCAGCGAGTTGATTTTGTTGGGTTTATGTGCACAGGGAATATGGGAATCCTGCTTCTGATCATTCTCCTTGAACTTTGTGAAGAGTCAAGTAGCCCATTTGGAGATTCTTCCACTTGTTCTACAAATGCAGACGCCTCCCTTTCTCTTGCAGTATTTATTGTGTGACTCATACTGCATAATCATAAAAACTAAATGAAGGCTGAATAAGGCAAGTCATTTTCATGCTCAATGGTACAAAAAAGGACAATTTATCCAATCTGTGTTGCATGTGATCCTTTAAGCTGAAATCACTAGAGAATGGTAATGGAAGAATAGATTGGCAAAGGAAAGTTCATGAATGAACAAGCCTAGGTTCTTTGCAAATGGAAGTGTTCTTATGTGTTTTAAGTGTATGGGATTCATCCTCATCTACTCTTGTATTTCTTGCTTTGATATTGCAGCTACTAGCAATTTATGTTTGGTCTTATGTGTATATTATGATGCGCGTGTATGCAAACAACGAAGGTAATGGAATTGACAAAGATGAACGCCTAGTAGTAATAACAACATCTGGAGGAGACTCAGAAGAATTTTTAGAGAGTTCCAGAGAAGCATTACTTCCTTCAAAGGGTTTTGAGAGTAGAGAGAAGTGTTTAGATCAAATTGAACCACCTTCCCATGCAATTGAAAAGAGAGAGAAGGTTAGAGTAAACTTGATAATCTATCTATCTCTTATGCATATCTACTGATCTGTAGTTCTCTGTTTAGCTTATTAATATCATGTTTTATTTATACCAACGACCTATTGTGAAAGAAGCTCAATTCCCTTAAATAAGTTCTTGAGTTCGCGTTTTGTGGAGGGACAGGTGTTAGGAGAACTTTGCCCTAATAGGTCTAGCTCGACTTAATTTTGAATTAGTTGTGACTTCCAAATACCAGGGTTTAGTACCAGATAATGTCATGTTTTATTTATTCAACACATCTAGAAAAGGTTGTCAATTTTTTCAAGCCCTGTGATGACATTGTCTTTGATGAATTCCATTTTATAGGGAAAAGTTCTGATCTTTCTGGGAAAGATAAAGCAGCATGTTAACAAGTTGACAAGCCAGATCAAACTGAAGATGCTATTAGCCCCTAGAACAGTTGCAACGGTATGCTCATAGTGCTTTCAAGTTGTTTAGAATTCTATCTACAAGTCATAGTTCATGTCTACAATAACATGTTGCTCTTGCTGCATAGATTGTTGGTTTCATCATTGGATTGGTATCTCCACTTTGAAAGGTCCTTATTGGTGACAATGCTCCTTTATGGGTCATTTACAGCTCTACAACTTTGATAGGGTATTTTTCAAAACCTGATTTTCTAGACCCTGTTCTAGGGGACTTAGTCTAGTATTCACTTCTTATCACTATTTTTGGCTTACAGAGAAGTAGCAATTCCTTCTATAACCCTAATTATTAGTGCAAACCTTCTCAAAGGTCTCAGGGATCTGGAGTAGGTGCACCCATCATAACAGGCATTACAGCAATCAAGTTCATCATCTTGCCTGCACTAGGAATCAGCATTGTTAAGGCTACAATCCATGTCGGGATGGTGGGATCAAATTCATTACTCCAGTTTACCTTAATGTTCCAATATGTAGTTCCACCAGCAGTGAATATCGGTGAGCCTGGAGATCACTTTTATTGTAGCTTCTGTCTTTGCATTGCTGCTGCCTTTTTTTCCCCAAGAACTCACTCTCAGTACTATATTTTTGTGGTAGGTACAATTTCCCAGCTGCTTGGAGCTGGTCAGAGTGAGTGCTCCGTAATCATGTTATGGACTTATGCAATTGCCTCGTTCATCCTGACACTATGGTCATCCTTGTTCATTTGGCTTGCGACTTGAGAATTAGTCTGTTGGGGTTCTCAATTTAATTCCCAAGTTAGAAATGAGGGCCTCAAAATACTGTTGGTAGAAAGTACAACCCCATGCATGTGAACACATGGACTTTCCATGTGGTGAAATCTCTTCACCAACCTAGCTAGTTGTGGGCTAGGATTGCTTTGTTGAAATCATGCAAGATTGCATGTTGACTCATTTAATGAGCAAGAAAAATCATGCACTGATGGTAATGAGGCAAAGAAAAATGGTGCATGGGTGGTAGGGTTTTTCACCATAAATACCCATGCATGCAAAGGCAATGGGCAAGCAAGAGTAGGAGAAAGCAAGAGAAATTGAGTGAGTGCTCTTGTGAGAGAAAAGAAAGAGAGAAATTGTGAGAAATGCTTGTGTAGATTAAGAGGGAGTACTAAGGAGAATTTGGGAGTTTCTATACTTTGAAGCTAGGGTGTTGAGAGCTTCTCGAGTGAGAGAGCTTCTAAATTATTGTACTCTTTCTTTTAATAGTGGATTTATTTCTCTCTTTCCCATGGATGTAGACTTGTTGAAAGGTGTATAAGTCGAACCATGTTAAATTGTTGTCTCAGTTTCTTTATCGCTTCCGTTTGTGTGGGATTGTGGTGTTCAAATCCCAACAAGTGGTATTAGAGCTACTAGTAGAGCTCCTGGTGTTGTGGCGAAATGCAAACTGAGAAGCCATGAAGTATTCAATTGAGCTATTCGATGCCAAGAATGACTTTGCTTTATGGCAAAGCACGGTGAAAGATGTCTTTACTTATCAAGGACTTGACACAGCTTTAGAAGAGACCAAACCAGTTGAGATGAAGGATAGTGATTGGAGTAATATCCAAAAGAAGGTAGCAAGTCAACTTCGGCTGGCGCTTGCACCGAAGGTAAATTACAACATCAGAGACTATTCTAATAGGCATGTGGAGAAAGCTTGAAGAGATATATGCTTCAAAATCTTTAACCAATCAGTTGTGTTTAAAGATGGAGCTATATTAATTGAAGATGGTAGAAGGCACAAATATTCATAAGCATTTATCTGATTTCAACATGATGGTGACACAAGTACTGAATGTCGGGAACATTCTAGAAGAAGAGGAGAAGGCTTTGCTTTTACTTGCGTCCTTGCCAAAGTCTTACAAGTCCTTAGTGCAGAGTATGCTAGTGGGTAAGACTACTTTGGTGATGAAAGATGTCACATCCATGTTGTTGGAGAATGATAAGTTTCTTGGGGAGGATGATGGTGCCAATCAAACTAATGCTTTGGTGATTGAGCACTATCGGGGAAGATCCAATGGACGTGGAGGTGGAGGAAATTGAGAAAGGTCGAAATCCAGACCTAAGAAGGATTATGGTGAAGTGTAGTGTTTTTATTGTGGTGAGTTGGGTCATAAATAGTATAAATGCCTGAAGTTTAAGGAGGACTTTTCTAATATGAAAATATTGATGAAAAGTCAAGAAACCAAGGGCAAGGGGGAGGCCAATATTGTTGAAGAAAATATTGTTGAAGTATTAGCATATGAAGAGTGTGATCTTGAGGTGGAGCAAAACAATCAAAGGTGGATTTTGGACTCCCCTGCAACCATACATGTGTGCAATAATCCTTCGGAATTTGTGAGTTTGGTTCAGGGGGAGCTTGGTAAAATAATGATGGCTATTGGTGAGAAGGTGAATATTGAAGGCATAGGAGATGTTCGTCTCAATGTTCACAATGGAAGAGTCAAGATTCTCAAGAATGTGAGATATGTGCCCAAGTGTTCAAGCAACATTATTGCTTTGTGTGAGTTGACAACACGAGAGTATAAGTATGTTTGGAAAGCAAGAATGGTGCAAGGTCTACAATGGTGGAAGACTTGTTTTGCATGGAAGGAAGAACAAGCACAACATCTATGTGCTTGAACAACATCCTGAGAAAGGGCTCAACAAAACCATGAGGAAGATGGTGTGGAAGCCTAAAGGGATCTTGGTAGATGGCAAGGAAATTAATAAGACCAAGAAGAAGGTGAGCTTCAACAATGAAGTGGTGTTTGATGATGGTTCGAGGAGGTGTGATTTTCCCTCGGATCATATCTTGGTTCAAAATTAATTTCGGTAGTGCACCTAGTGTAGGTTTGTCCTATCCTATACTAGGAGGAAGCTCTCAAAATTAGGACACCATGATGAAGTGTTTTTGAGTAGGGGGAGCTAAGTCATGGTTGGTTTCTCCTCCCATGGGGTTGGAGGGGGTGATTGTTGGTAGAAAGTCCAACCCCATGCATGTGAACACATGGACTTTCCATGTGGTGAAATTTCTTCACCAACTTAGCTAGTTGTGGGCTAGGATTGCTTTGTTGAAATCATGCAAGATTGCATGTTGACTCATTTAATGAGCAAGAAAAATCATGCACCGATGGTAATGAGGCAAAGAAAAATGGTGCATGGGTGGTTGGATTTTTCACTATAAATACCCATGCATGCAAAGGCAATGGGCAAGCAAGAGTAGGAGAAAGCAAGAGAAATTGAGTGAGAGCTCTTGTGAGCGAAAAGAAAGAGAGAAATTGTGAGAAATCCTTGCGTAGATTAAGAGTGAGTATTAAGGAGAATTTGGGAGCTTCTATACATTGAAATTAAGGTGTTGAGAGCTTCTTAAGTGAGAGAGCTTTTAAATTATTGTACTTTTTTTTTCTTAATAATGGATTTATTTCTCTCTTTCCCGTCGACGTAGACTTGTTGAAAGGTGTACAAGTCGAACCACGTTAAATTGTTATCTCAATTTCTTTATCGCTTCTGTTTGTATGGAATTGTAGTGTTCAAAATTTCCAACAAATACTACAAGGATATTTAGTTGACTCACTATTTCTAATCAGAGGAGAATTAGTCTGTTGGGGTTCTCAATTTAATTCCCAAGTCAGAAACGAAGGGATCAAAAAACTACAAGGATATTCAGTTAACTCACTATTGCTAATAAGAGTTCACCATCTGTAACGAAACACAACTCAAATTTAGATACCATTTTCTACTATGATTGTTTAGCAATTTCTTTTTAGTACATTGTAATGTGATATTGGATTAATTGTTATTTTTATTTAATATTAAAATAAAAATATTTTTATTTTAGATTAAACTTTATTTATATACTTTTAATTAATTTTTTTATATATTAGTCCATTAAAAGAATATTTTGATAACATAATTTGAAACTAAAATGATCATTTTGCCCTTATTCTTTATTTTTTTAATTTTTTAAATGGTGCATTCATTAATGACAAAATAGTCTCTTTGTTTTTAAATCATAAACTGATTAAAATTAGTAAATCAAGAGTGGACGACCGGCCTAAAAAAAAAAGTGCACAATTTTTTGTTAAAAAAAAAAAAAGAAAAGAAAGAAGCATGTGTTAAACCTGTAGGAATGGGCCGGACCCGAGATTTTTAATTTTTGAATTAATATGTAGTAGCAAAATTCAGTATCTATCTTATGATTTGAATTGTACTCGTATCACTTTATATTAGAATGTAGAAAGATAGCTTTTGTGATTTGTATTTATTTAATAATTTAAATTATACAATTTAGGTTAAAATTCTATTTTAGTTTCTTTACTTTTAAAAAAAAAATTTGTTTTTAATCTCTCTATTTAAGAAAACTCTTTTTAGTTTTTAAAATTTATTATAGAAAACTCTTTTTAGTTTTTAAAATTTATTATCCTGTCATTTTTTAGTCTCTTTATTAATTTTTATACACATGACATGTTAAATAATCAAAATTTTAAAGTAGAGAACTAAAAAGAGACTAAAAAGGTACCTTTTTAGACTTTTTGCTTAAAAGAATTATTTTTTATTCCCTCCACTTTGAAATTTCTATTATTTAACGTATAACGTATGTAAAAATATAGGATCATAATTGGTGCACACCCGGATTCAACATGCGGGTGTGCACACTCTACATAAAAAAAAAAAGGATCGGGTGTTCTCCATTTTTTTTTTATGCGGAGTGTGTACATTCGGGTGTTGAATTCGGATGTGCACACATCATTTTCCAAAAATATAACAAAAGAATTAAAAAAGAGTTAAATAATAAACTTTAGAGACTAAAAATGAATTTTCTCTTAAGTAGGGAATTAAAAAGGGACATTTTGTTAAACTAAAGGGACCAAAATCAAGTTTCAACCTATAATTTAAAATGCACAATATTTTTTTAAATAAAAATTTTGAATTTGAATATGTACCAGGCCATGATACATTAGCCATTATACACAAAAATCAGAGAAACACAGCCTGTTTTAGGTGGGAAAACAAAATCTATCAATAGTTGATTCTCTCTAACATTTTTCTATTAATGCAATAATTTACCTCATTAATAATATAATTCCCCATTATTGTTTCACTAATTTACTTGACAATTTTGGCACCAATAATAAGAATACGAAGTTAATTCTCCTGCTGTTCATAGATATACATATCTATAGGAAAATGATTGATATTTTTTACACAACTTTTGATATTCACTGATTTAATTATGAAAATATAATATAAATATAATCAATTTAGTTAATTTTTATATGTTATATATATAACTATATTTTTAAAATTTTTTACTTTTAATTTTATACTAAAAGTATTAAATTTTTATATTATACACTATTAACTGAAGGTATACCACCAATAAATGTCCATCTATTGTCCCATTGAAGTTGAACCCTTACCCAAACAAATTGATATCAATTACGAGGAGAACAAGGAAACTTTTCGAACACATAATCTCCATAGATTGCTTATCGAGATTCCGTTCTCTCTGTTATGGAAATGAAGTACCGATATGTTCTCCAACTTAAGATTATTTCTTTTTCATGCAACCTTGTCCGATAATATATATTGTTGAGTACTTCTCCCTTCTGTGTATCCTTCGCTTTCGAGATATAGCCATAATGTCTTGCACAAGAATCTTAAGTTTGGCTTTTCTCTTGCTATTCATCAACTTTAATAAAGTCCTTTCATTTTCTTCAACAGATTACAGGAACGCACTGACCAAGTCTTTGCTCTACTTTGAGGCTCAACGCTCCGGTAAGCTGCCTCCTAACCATAGGGTTGATTGGCGTGGAGATTCCGGCCTCAATGACGGCCAGGATGTTAATGTAAGAATTATTGATCCATCACTTCTATATTTTTTTTAATTATGTACTTTGAAACAAACTTGATTGATATGTCTACATGCAGATTGATCTCACCGGAGGATACTATGATGCTGGAGATCATGTGAAGTTCGGATTCACGCTGGCCTTCACCATAACAACGCTTTCTTGGAGCACCCTGGAGTTCCAGGACCAACTGACAAGGAATAAAGAGTTTTCTAATGCATTGAGTGCCATCAAATGGGGCACGGACTACTTGATCAAAGCACATCCGCAACCCAACGTCTTGTACGGCCAAGTTGGTGAGGGTGACCCCGACCACGCTTGCTGGATGAGACCGGAGCAGATGACAACCCCAAGAACTTCCTACAAGATTGATGAACAACGCCCTGGTGCTGATCTTGCTGCTGAAACTGCCGCTGCCTTTGCTGCTGCTTCCATTGTTTTCCAAGGAACGGATACTTCCTACTCTAAAGTGCTTCTAAACCACGCAAGACAGCTCTTTGATTTCGCCCGAACTCATCCCGGTCTTTATCAAAACAGCATAAATGATGCTGGAAAATTCTACTCCAGCAGTGGATATGAGGTAATAAGAATCCCAGTTTTCACTTTTTGTTTTCAAATTTTTAAGTTTAACAAGAGATTGGTATCTTAACTTTTACATCCTATAATACCTTAGCTCATGATTAGGACGGGCTTCCGATATAGAACCCCACTAATCAAGGAGCTATTCTCTTACAATCTGCAGAGGACAGAATGCAAAATACTTTTTTATTTAAACAATGATACTAAATTTTTTATCTTAATATCTTTTAAAAGGATGAATTGTTGTGGGCTGCTGCATGGCTTTATCGTGCTACCAATGGAAAACCCTACTTAGATTTCCTGAACGCGGCAGGAAACACCGGTGGCACCAGGACCACCTTCTCCTGGGACGATAAATACGTCGGTGCGCAGGTGTTAGTTGCTAAGGTATACTAATCATAATGCATTCCTCCTTTTTCTTTTTCTTTTTTTTTTTTTTTTAAAAGAAAAGTAAGCATTGAATTACCTATATAGCTACCAAATATATGAATACGGTGAATGTTATGTGATTTAATGCATGCAGCTTGTATTAGAAAAGAAGGTGCCTGATTCAGGAGTCATGGCTCAGTTCAAGAACCAGGCGGAGCAGTTCATTTGTGCCTGCGCTCAAAAAGGTAACGGCAACGTGAAGAAGACACCGGGGGGTTTGTTGTGGTTCCTACCGTTCGACAACCTTCAATACACCGCAACCGCTACTTTGGTCGCCTCGGCCTATTCCAACTATCTCTCCGCCGCCAAGTCCTCCATTCAATGCCCCGGCGGCATTCTTCAATCCCAAGACCTTGTTGATTTGGCTCGATCACAGGTTTGCCTTCGTTATTTTGGGTTTATACCATCACGGCTATATATTTGATACAGTATAATGAGTTAATAAAATCAACTTTAAAATACCATAAAAAAATCAACATTAAAATAATTAACACTTAAGTATAAATCAATACATATCTCTCATTTTTTAAAGGGTGTGGAATATATTTTAGTTTTTTTTCATAATATTTTATTAAAATAATATAATTTCAAAATATGTTTTGCTTAATTTTTTATAAATTCAACTGATTAATATTAATCTCATATTAAATTAAATAAAAAACAAATTTTATAACATTGAGAACTTTTCTTTAATCAAATTTATATTATAATTTAAATTGTAAAATAAAAAATTATTTATTTATTATTATTATTTTGCCACCAAGTTTCACTTGCAGTTGCTTGACTGTATAAAATCGAAAAAATGTAGGTGGATTACATATTGGGGTCAAACCCAAAGAAGATGAGCTACATGGTTGGGTTTGGGAACAACTTCCCTGGACAAGTCCATCACAGAGCAGCTTCCATTGTTTCAATCAAGAAGGACCCAACGCCTGTTTCCTGTAAAGAGGGCTTCGACAAGTGGTTCAACAAAAACGAGCCGAACCCAAATGTATTGGAAGGGGGGGTGGTGGGAGGCCCAGATGCAAATGATGCGTTTACTGACTCTAGGGGTAATTTCCAGCAAAGCGAACCCGCAACTGTCACTCCAGCTCCACTTGTTGGAGTCTTCGCTTTTCTTGCCAAGTGAAAATAATTAATTATACTACTGTAAGACGTATTATATCTATATCTACAGGGGTGAATCCTCTAACTATCACTCTACAGAATTCACAGTAATAATAAATAAATAAATAAAAAAGAGTAAGAATTTTTAAATTTAAATTATCATATTCAGTAAGAATATTTTAAAATTTGTTATTTCTCATTATATAATTGTAATAAAAAAGTTTTTTTCCATATCAAATTTCATAATATAAAAGTTTAGTTTAATTTATAAATTTATTAAAATAAAATATCTTTAATGAGACTACTTTTTTATGTTATTTTATTAATAAAATTTTAATA